GCTAATCTGCTCCATTAACCACTTACGTTCCAATAACCACTCTCAGCATCCTAACCATGCTTTATTTATTTATTGCACGCAGCTGCAGCCAGAGATGGCTGCTGCCCCAGGATCCCAGCTCACCCCATAAGGTGCCTTTCCCCCCACCGCTGAGGGAGTGCCTGTGCTAAACTCAGCTCTATGGGTCTCATCCCCTCCATGCCTCCCTGCTCTCCAACTCTCTGTGGCAGCAGAGGACAGCCTTTTTTCACTCCCAGAAAGGGATATAGATGGCAATGATGAGGACAGTCCTCTACAATGGCCTCGGAGGCAGCAGTCCCAGTCCCACAGCTAAACAGATGGCCCAGCATCACAGTATGATTTGGCACTGGCCAAACCAGTCCTAAGGAATGGGGTCTTCCCAGGTGCACAGAAACCTTTGGCAAGCTGAACATCCAAATACCAAGCAGCAAATTAAGAACAACAAAACCAGACCTCCAGAAAAGTAAAGGGAATCAACAACACTGGTGGTTTTGAGAACTGAACACTGGTGTTTCTGAAATGCCTGAGAGTGGGAGCTACATCTCACCTCCAGGTCCAAAGAAAGCGGATGCCAGTAAGGTAGCAACTCCATTGCCTACCTCCCCTTTTATCCTACACACAAAACAATAAAAACCCAAACCAGTTAACTCAATTACATTCTTGACTAGTCCTTGTAATTCACTGCTCTTAATACATCACACCTTGCATTGCTGTCATCCCTTTTCCCCACTATTATGACTTAAAGTTATTCTGATATGGAATAACAAATTTATGGGGAAGCTTTGACTGTTGATCTGTCACACTCTTCACACATCTCTTCCCTCTTCTCTCAACAGACTTTATCCTTCCCAACAAAAGAAAATAAAATACAGTGGCAGTGAAACTGCCTTTGTCTCCCCCCATCATTTTTTTCTGGTTTGTTTAATATAGCTTTGGTTTGGCTTTTGTTTGGTTTTAACTTACGCTTTTCTAGATAAAAATAAGAATTTTGGGGGGGGGTGGGGTGGGGTTTTTTTATAACGAGTCAGCAAAGATGAGGGGTGAAAGGACCTTCTTTCACTCCTTCCAGCAAGCTCTTGTTAGCTGAGGTTCCTCAGCATTTGGGTCTTCAACTCCTGTAGAGGCAACCTCCAGCCTGGAATCCTTTGTCTGTTTTCCTGTAACCAATTCCTACTGCCAGCAGCAAGGCTTTTCTGGAGGAGCCCACATTTACCAGGTTTCTTACCAAATCTGTTCTCTCTTCACAGCAGGCTGCTTTTACTATCTCTAAAGATGCCTGGGCTGTGTGAGGCCCTCAGACACAGAGTGCAGACAAAGCATAAGCCTGGGTAGGGAAGGGCTGGCATCTGGAAGACATTAAAAGGCATGCAACAAGATCAAAATTATTTTGGCATACCCCTCCTGGATAGACATGACCCATCATGTTTTCAGCACCTTCACTGTGCACCTGCAACATGATAGTATCAATGAGAAAGGTGAAAACATTAATTAAACTTTTGGTGGTTTTATATCTTGCTTTATATCAGGTTTACAGAGTGGATGTAGTGCTGGGACAAAGCAGATATCCAATTTCCCTTCCTAATTTCTCTTACCCCAACATGCCATCCATATTCACATACAGGAATAGGTCTTTTTTTTATTATTTAAAAAAAAAAAAAAAATCACTTGACAAGTTACCCACTTAACAAGTCTGAGAAATGTTCTGAATAAGCCCTCAATGACAGTCCAAGGCAGTGGAGGTTCTTTCTAGAGAAACTGTAAGTTTACCAATAGCTGGACAACATTCACCTAATCTTCCCTGCTCCCTGCTTCTCCATGCACTGCTACAGTGACACTGTATCTGAGACATCCAGCCAAAAGCCAGCTCAATTCACCAAATGCAAAGAAACAAATCACAATACTTTCATTTTGGTATTGGGTATTATCTATATTTCAGCCTCAAACACCTATGTAATGCTATATAATACTGACTTCCCAAGAAGGGAGATCATGCTAATCATGATTTCTGAAGGATTTACACATGATACTATATTTACTTTCAAACTTTGTCAGAGTGACAAAGGGAATATATCTCCATTGATCTGCTACTGCATTTTCTCTGGATTACGAGTCAAGCACCAGCGCTGTCCAAATCTATAGCCACCAAAATATCTCTCTAGCAAACAAACCAACATATTTAGGAATACCTTTTCCCCACAGATGAAAGGGTAACTGCAACCATCTACTGGGAGTTTCTGAAAACCACAAACCTTAGTACCTCCATCCAGTAATATTTTTATCACACCTGTGATTTAAAGATCTCTCAACTTTCCAAATCAAATGTATGACCTAGATCTGAAAAAGGATGTTCATGTCTTCAAGAAGCATCAAAACAAAATCAGTAAATTCAAGAAGTACGAAACATATTGACTGGAGGGAAGACCCAGAAAACATACAGAAAATAAGCATCACAAAGCTATCCAAAAAAGCAGTAGAACAGCACATCTGAGATGTGAAACCGGAAGAATCTCATTTTATTTTAAATCGACTAACAACTTCACGTGATGAATTGTACGACATATTTTTCAGCGTACGGTATGCTGGCATATGGAAGGCCACTTTTATTTTAAGCTGGGGCTTTAAAATGAATCACCACATGCCATGTGCAGAGAAGGATTTTGGT